CCGGATTTGCCCTAGAGCTTTCCTATCCAGTACCTCCCAATCACCATCTGACTCCTCCTTCTTCTTTCCCTTTTCCTTGCCCATCAACGGGCGATACAAGTCCTTCTGGTACATGTAGTTCTCCATCTGCGACTTCCAGTAGGCGAAGTCTGAACCGTCAAACTTCTCAATCTTTGATTTGATTTCCTCTGCCATGGCTCTCTTTTACACAAATTGTTGAACGAAGCTCTGATACCAGTTGTTGGGGATTCAAAATAATCAAATCAAATTCATACCCTTCCGGATCTTGTGTTTGAGAGTTGAGCAAGAAAGAAATTCATCACAAATCAAAGATAAAAACTTATAGGAAAGTAAACAAGAAAGAACACACCAGATTTAACAAGATTCGGCAACGTGCCTACGTCCTCGGGAGCCACACCACATAATTCTTTGATTACTTGAAGAAGATTACAATGCTTATAATTGGTCTCTCTCTCTCTAAGATTTCTAACCTCAAAGAGCTCTCAAAACACTCTTTTTTTTCATGCTCTTTTTCTCTCTTAAACCCTAAAGGGACGTGTTTCTATTTATAATAAAACACAATCCCAAACAGATTAGAATTCTAAAACGAGTCTGCCACACCCTGGTGTGGCGCAGACCACACCCATGGCAGACAGGACAGACTCTGTCACACCCTGGTGTGGCGCAGACCACACCCATGGCAGACAGGGCAGATTCTGCCACATCCTGGTGTGGCGCAGACCACACCCATGGCAGATAGGGCAGATTCTACCACATCCTGGTATGGTGCAGACCACACCCATGGTCTGTCTTGAATTTTTATGCGATTGTTGATTTTGATTCTAGGTTTGGGTCTTCACTTTCAAGACCAACAGAGACCCTATCCTTTCTTTTTAAAATGTATTTACATTATCGAATGTGATTATAAATATAATTATTTTTGCAAGGTAAGATACAAAGTGCCCCGCCAAACTCTAGTTCTAGGCTACGCCACTGTCAATAGTAACTAAAATAGATAAATAACTTTTTATTTCAATTTAAATTATTTTAGAGTGCATGGTTTTACCAAGGACATACTCTCAAATTACATTTCACTATCTTTAAATTGAAAGACTATCCTAGTTATTTGCTAGTTTAAAGACACGATAGTCTATTTTGGAGGTTTTTTGTGCCTATTTAGAGACTCGGCAGTCTATTTTGAATTTCGCCAATTTGGACGAGTTTTAGGTTTTTGCTAATTTCAGCAATTTGTTTTAATTTCTTGTCACCTTGATTTTGGGTTTTGTAACTCGGGTTGTTTTTTTGCCAACTTCAATAATTGTTTTCAGATATTTTTTTGTTGCTTATTGTTTGCGTGCATCTTTTATCTATTTTAATGTCTTCCGGTTATGAAATTATTTGTGTATTTGTCTACTTTTATGACTTTGGGGTATGCTCAAATAAACTCATTAGTTTTATGGTGCGATAGTTTTCTAGTTTAATGGCTTAGGGTTCTACATTAATTTGAAATCATTTTTAGGACATTTGGTCCATGAATTAAATTTACGGATATTTTTTTTTTGGTAAATGAAAAATTTTATTCATCTCCAACATGTAAAGTTTTGTACATCAAGAATCTCAAGAACATGTATATGTAATTGAGATAACTAACCAAAACGTATAGTTAATGCTCAAGACTGAGCTATAGCAAAAAACTAAGAAACAGATTACAAAACATGCACACAACCATTGTGCATATCCTCAAATTTTTCTCTTGAGCCAACTCCAAGTAGTAGCTTCTTCTTCTCTATATGGTTCCTTACTGATAATCGATCTGAACCAGGCAATCATGTATACTTCCAACAATATTATCTGAATCAGATAATCATGTACACAACCAGATAGACCTGTACACAACCAGACATGTGCACAGAACTCCACAGCAGAGCAATATTATCTACAGGGAGGAGCTTCAAAGCTAGAAACTGCAGGGAATAGCTTCAGCCTCAGGTTTCACAAAGATAGTAACCAGTGGAGGAGCTTCAAAGCTAGAAACTGCAGGGAATAGCTTCAGCCTCAGGTTTCACAAAGATAGTAACCAGTCCCGATTCTCCTCCTGAATTTGTGACTCAGGTTTCACAAAGATAGTAACCAGTCCCGATTCTCCTCCTGAATTTGTGAATTAAGGACAACAGATAAAATGTCCATCTTAATTCTCTTAATCAATTGAGCTGCAGTTCTTTGCTCCTGTTGAAAAATTCTGAGATTTCTCTCAGTCCAGATACTATAAATTGCAGCAGTAAATGCCATTCTTTTGATCCCTTGCTTGAAACCTTTCCCTCTTAGCTTTGTACAAAACCACTCCAAGATAAGATTCCACTCACATGATTTCCAGGTAAATTGAAGCCAACACATTATGTCATTCCAGACCTCTGAAGAGTAGCTACAGGAAAAGAATAGATGATTTCTGTTTTCCAGTTTAGTTCCTGAACACAAGCAACATGAACCAACATTTTTTATTCCTCTTTTCATCAATCTGTCTTTGGTAAGTAATTTATTCAAGACAGCAAGCCAACTTATAAAAGAATGTTTAGGATAGCACAATTGATCCCAAACAGTGCAATGCCATGACACTTGCTGAGTAACTGGTAACAGAGCATGGTATAAAGCTGAGATATGAAACTCTGAATTCCTGTAGCAAGCATTCAGTAATTGTAACAGATTATTAATCCCACCACAAGAGAGAGCAGCTCTATCTCTTGCTTTCATCATTTGTTTCCACATCCAGGGGTCACTACTTTTTGCAATCACATGCCATTATGAACCGTATGATTTGAAATTTGTTTTTTTTATACGCTTGATTTAACTTTAGTTTAAGGACGTTTTGGTCAATTTCATTTGAGCTACAGACATTATGAACTGTATGATTTGAAATTTGTTTTTTTTTTTGTTCAATTTGATTTGAGTTGTAGATATTTTGAACCATTAGATTTTGTTTTTGATTTAAAAACATTCTGGTCAATTAGTTTAGAGATATTTTGGCCCATTTAAGTTGAATTTTAGTTTAAGGGCATTTTGGTCAATTAGATTTGAATTTTAGATGGATTTTTCTATAAAGTTGTATGCTTTAAGGACATGTTCTATAAATTTTAACTTTTGGAGTATTTTCTGCAATTTCTACAATTTTTAGGTCTGTTTTGCAAATAAAGGATTTTTGAGGTTTTTGTTTGTGATTTTTGATATCTTTGAGTTTTATAATTTCTAATTTTGTACTGGGCAGATTTGCAATTTTAGAATTTTATTGGAATGATTTGCAAATTCAGCATTTTTATTGGACTGATTTGCAAATTCAGCATCGTTGGTGGGCTGCTTTGCAATTTCAACATTTCATTGGACTGGTTTCTAATTCTGATTTTGTACGGGATTGTTTTGCAATTTGGTTTTATTGGACTGATATGCAAATTCAGCATCTTTGGTGGACCTTTTTACAATTTCAGCATTTTATTTGACTGGCTTGTAATTCCAGCAGTTTTTGTTAGGGTTGGTTGCAATTTTTGTACAGGATTTCATGGGATGTTTGTGTTATTTTCACAAGCTTGGGACTGTACTGCAATTTTACAAAATTGGAGGGACTGGTTGTAATTATTCTACAAGTTCGAGACTGTTTTGTAAGTTTTACAATTTAGAGGGAGCTATGCGTTAATTTTTTTATAATTCCACCAAGAGATCATTAATCTTCATAATCTTTTACAAACATAAGGGTGCATTGTGTTAGAATCATTACAAGTTAAGGAGGATATCACATGTTCATGTTCACTTTCACTTGCATCATGTCTGGTCTTCTACCTATTATTTATGGGCTAAATTACCATACTGGAAATCTTTTTGGCCCCTCTTTATCGGTTTGGTAAAGTTCTAGCAATTTTTTTTCGCGCCGACCAAATTTTTGCATGCATAAGTAGCAAGTAACTTCACATAATTTAACTTTAAGGGTATTAGAAGACTAAGGTGGCTGGTTTTAGATGATATGACTAGTTTAGGGTTAGTTTTTCCTTGCCGAAATCTTTGTTTTGTCATCTAAAACCTTTCTTCGTCATCTTAAAAACAAACACCTCGGTCTTTTAACATCTCTAATATTATGAGGTTACATGCTATTTACACGTGTACAACGGTAATGCACTTTTGACTTTTTAAGACCAAAAAGTTGCAAGAGAAACTTTTAATACCAAACCGATTAAAGGAAGTTAAAAAAACATACCAATTTAGTAAAATTTAAGCCTATGATTTATGTCTGAAATTCCTTGTTCATCACAATTGAGCAGTCCTTTATACCCTGCTCCTTTTCTACTTGCCAGGATATTTTTCGTTCTCCCAGCTTGATGATAACTTGAAATAGACTCTTTTAGGGAGTAATTTTTTCAAAACTTTGTCTGTCACAAGGATGAGTGCAGTGATGTACCCTGTCTGGTTTGCATCGGTCAGTATTTCACAATAAATTAAGACACAACATAAATTTTCCTTGCAAATTGATAATAGATTGATAAAGGAAGCAATTACTTATCAACCCATTATCAATTATCCCCCTAATTGTATGTATAACTTGAAATATATTATCAATTTATTGCAAGTTAGGATGTTTTCTCCCCCTAATTAACTTGCAGTTCTGTACTCGGATCATCTACTGAAAAGGTCGACGTGATTATGCTTCAAAGCAATTAATATCTGTCAAAAGAACGAGTATATTGGTGGGCCCTGTATCCAGTTTACATGAATTAGTATTTAAAACAAGAGCAATAATATTACTCATTTTAAATAGAATTTGCAACAAAAATATATAAAGACATGCAAGCAACAAATCCAAACACGTACGCGACGCTCGTTTGCGGGTGAAATCACTCATAGAATCAAAATCAACCCTCCCCATTGGCCCAAACCATATCCCCCCTTATCCAATCAATCCCCATGCGCACCACATATCCTCAACAATCTCTTTTTTAACTTTCCCTCCTCTTTATCAAACTCTCGATCTCCTCATTCTTCACACACTCATCACAAAAAAAACCTCCCTAGCCTCCCTCTTCAATGGCAATGGCAACCCAGGCCTCCCTCTTCACCCCACCCTCCCTCCCCTCAACCCGCTCCTTCCTCCGCCGCCCCAAAACCCTAACCCTAACCAGTCCCCGCAACGTAAAGATCTACGCAAAAGACGAGAAAGCCCCCACGGCCGAAGCCAAGGAAGCCCCCGCAGGATTCACGCCACCTGAACTAGACCCAACCACCCCCTCCCCAATCTTCGGCGGGAGCACTGGCGGCCTCCTACGTAAAGCGCAGGTCGAAGAATTCTACGTCATTACGTGGGAGTCGCCGAAAGAGCAGGTGTTTGAGATGCCAACAGGAGGTGCTGCCATAATGAGAGAGGGTCCTAACTTGTTGAAGCTAGCAAGAAAAGAGCAGTGTTTGGCTCTGGGGACTAGGCTCAGGTCTAAGTACAAGATTAAGTATCAATTTTATCGGGTTTTTCCGAACGGGGAAGTTCAGTATCTTCATCCTAAAGATGGGGTTTATCCTGAGAAGGTGAATCCTGGGAGGGAGGGAGTTGGACAGAACTTTAGGTCTATTGGGAAGAATGTGAGTCCTATTGAGGTCAAGTTCACTGGTAAGCAGGTTTACGATTTGTGAGGTACTGTTTGCCGTGTTTTGATTTAGCTTGTATTTATGGGTGTATAATTGTTGCTACTATTTCATGAAAATGGTTAATTGCTGCAAAAGGGTGTCTTTTGTTTGTTATGTGAATTTTCCCTCTTCAATAGAACTCTGTATCTTGCTGCGTATAGTATCAGGGTTTTTGGTGCAAAATATGTAAAAGATTAAAAAAAAAATTCCCTGCTCATTGTATGTTTTGATGTGCTATGAGCAATTTTATCGTGTATCTATATGGCAACTTATGGTAATCGTGGAAACTTGATTGTTTTCTTAGTATCAACCATCTAATCTGATTTAGGAATTTGTTTCTAGTTTAATTAACTCACACCACATATAAAATTCAAACCTATCGAACTTCAAAATCCAGTGTCTAGACAAAAAAAATATACGAGAAATCTTTATATTTTTCAACACAATTTTACTTTGATTCCCCTAATTAATCATGGGGATATCGGCACGCTCTACGTACACCTCTAAAATAACTAAATTATGCAGCAAACATGATGACTTGTGTTTTATGATTTCAACTGTTACCAATATGTGAGACTTATTGTAACCAATATCACCAAGTGTTGTTACTTCACGTTTTCCAATCTTCAAGGATCTAGAATCATACACCTAAATTTAGATGTGTTAAATATTGCATAGATAGCCTCTATCGTTTAGTCCCACATCGGGTAGAGTAATAGAACAATGCTACTCACATTGTATATATAGACCACAATGCTAATGAATACGCATGTCCTTTTTCTCTTGATTTGCTATGTTTCTAACATGGTATCAAAGTCATTCAATCAATTCTCTCCTCAAATCCCAACCTCACAAATCTAATCCGCACCACCGTGCATCAGAATTGCACCAACGTGCATCAGATTTGTACCAACATGCACCAGATCTACACCACCGTGCACTAGATCCACACGACGTGCACCAGATCTGCACCACCGTGCACTAGTCCTGCACGACGTGCACCAGATTTTCACCAAAGCTCACACAATACAACAACGTCTATATCTTCTTGGCAAACTACCTTTGGTTAACCCAATTGCAGTTTGAGGGGGTGTTAAATATTGCATAGGTAGCCTCTTTCGTTTAGTCCTACATCGGGTAGAGTAATAGAACAATGCTACTCACATTGTATATATAGACCACAATACCAATGAATACACATATCATTTTTCTCTTGATTTGCTTTGTTTCTTCAAACTCTTCTAATTATGCTACAATAAAAGTTGTATGTGCCTACACTTATTTTATAACACATATAAAAGTGTCATATTGTTGGTAAATGATTAAATAATATTGTCATAAATAAAAAGTGTGACAAATCACGACACATATTTGTGTCATTAGATATATAATTATATATAATTGAAAAAAGCTAATAGTCCAATATGATTTGTGTGAGGATTTGTTGATGAGCTTAAATAAGAAATCTTAGATTTTATTTATAACGATGATTAAACATTTATGATAGTGTATAAGCTAAATAACTACATAGTTTAGGATGGATGACCTTTTGGGAATTTATAGTGTTGAATGGTGATACTCTTTATATTTTATAGTCCTATGTGTCATCACTCTTGACATTTGTACATGTCACGGATTTTGTAACACATATATGTGTCACCACTCTCGACACATATATATATCGTGAGTATTGCAACACATGTATGTATCGTAAATTTTATGACATGTGTATGTGTTACAAGTTTTGCAACATATTCTCACATGTGTAGAAATTCGCTCTCCACACATGCTCTACCCACACTTTTCGGTATGTGTTGTGCTCATGTGTACGACACAAAATTGTCACATGGAGATAAAAAATGTATCATTATTTACAATTTTTATTGCAATGCTAGGAAGAGTAACCTACTAAAAATTTTCTACTCGCAACCAAAGCCTGCACTTGAAGAATAAAGCGATTTTTAAATGATACTACAATACGCCATGTTTTAATATGTATGATGAGAGATTGATCTATGACAATAAGGATAAGGGATGTGTATAAATTACCAGAAGAAGCATTTCATGTTCAGTGGAGTTATGGTTTGATCATGTGCCCTAGTATTGAAGCAGATGGTCCTGCATTTTTTCTTTCAATTATTATCAACTATTCTTCATTATCAATTTAATTTTTAATCCCACTAAAAGAAATTTGTCAAAACTTCATTTGTACGAAATCCCCTCTTTACGGCCCATTTTGTTAGCCCAGCAAAACTTTGAGCCAAGGCCCTAAGTTTAATTTATTATTGGCCCAACTAATTAGGCCCAATTGCTGGTGCGTAATTTCCTTGAGATGGTCCGTTGCACATCTCATTTGTCAACTATCCCGTTGAAAAATCTTTTGCGTGTTTATTAATGAAAACCACTTTTTTTAAGAGGAATAATGAAAACCACCTTTAAAACAGGTTGAATCAATGAAAACCACTTTTAAAGTTTGCTTTTTATAGATAAATAATTATCTTACAAGTGACTTTAGTTTTTAATCACCCACTTTTTTGTCAACTTCTGCTCAATTACTTCCAAAATATTCAAACTATTCTTATTAATTACATGTGCCTAAAACATGTTTCCCAACACACATGTAATTAGTAAGGGTAGTATAAGTAATTAAGATAGTGATTGAGAATAATTTAACAAAAATTGGTTGATTGAAAACTAAACCTACTTATAAGATGGTTTACGCATTAAAAAAACTTCAAATGTGATTCTTATCGATTCAACCTATTTTAAACGTGGTTTTCATGAAAAACCCTAAAATTTTCATACAACTCATAAAGTCAAAATTTACCTTGAACTAATTGGAACCTTATCCATTGTTGTTTTTCCCGTGAATTTCATCACCGGTTTAATCCAATTATATTTGCAATGGGCAATAAGATGACTAGATTTCAAAAGAAGCATGAACATTTTATCCATGAATCTATATAGAATCTATATATTTTTTTGAATGAAAATAGGGCATACTGCCCTATCATGTATATATAATTCAAAAAGAGAGTTGTTACAAAAGATATCTGATTGTGATTTGGCCCGAGACTCCGAGTATATAGAATCTATATTGAAAGGGTAAAAGATCATTGAAGAGCATATGGATACATCCTAAAACAAGTCAGACTTCATAATTTGCATACATGTGTTGCACTTGAGTGAATCACCATAACAAAATCCTTCGGTAACTGAGAAAGCTACCTCGGTATTGAACTTAATTAGCAAACTGCATCTAAATGAACCAAACCAAAGAATGAGGATGATATTTTTGGGAGGCCATAATTCAGTGGGGAACTATAAGATTGAGGTGGTCCCGTGGTCCGTGGTCCGTGGTCCGTGGTAAGATGCTCCTCCATCATTCTGCAAGGGACAGCTAGCTGTGCCCCTTAGTTTAATTATCTTTTTTTTTAGCTGAAAAAACAGAGAAAGATTCCCTGTTCATATATATATATATATATATATATGTGTGTGTGTGTGTGTGTGTATGTGTGTAAAAGGATAACAAAAAGATGTACAAACTTACAAAAATGTGAGTCTGAAAGAGCATGAAACGAAAAGTCGATAGGGAGCGGACCTTGTCGTCACCTATCATGACTAATCCCCCATGAGCCTTCCTCACATCGGAGAACACCCCCAGAAACACAAAAAGAAAGTTTGAAACACTTGCTGATACAACCAAAGACAAGAAAACACTAGATCACCTGAAATATGTTGGTTACTGATAAACCTAAGAAAAGGAAAAAAAGAAAACCAGTGCCAAAATAAGTGTTGCAATACTCTGCTTGGCAGACACCAGAAATGAAGATAAAAGGCCAACCAGAGACAACTGCACACCCTGATATCACCAAACTTCTTAGTCTACCGAAAAATTATCATCCACATCATCCGTTGCTTTCCACATCGCAATATCTTTGAACTGAAGCTTGATAGCAGCCCTACAGATCATTCTGGTAAGTCTGTCCTCCTTAGCACCTGCCCATAAAAGAGTATATCTGACGACATTAGCTGCAATGTGAACAGGGTTAGGCTGAATATCTGGCGACATTAGTTTAATTATCTTTGCTTATCCTCACTTAATTTTAATCTTTATATATGATTTTGGGTTTCACTGATATTTAAAAGCCTGAACAGATCATTATTGATTTTCGAGACTATTATGGATACACTTATGTAACAAATGAGTACATTTAAAAAGTTATGAAATATAAATATAAGTACAGCATAGAAGATTCCGTCCAAATGGATGATTTCAAATTCGAAAAAGGATATTCTGATTTCAACTACTTTATTATGATTTATCAATACTTAGGATTATGATAATTAGTCAATTATTTAAAAGTGAGAACTTTATTAATCCTGAACTTTTTTATTTACTTAGGGGGGGTTAGTCATCTAGAACTTAAAACTGGAACTGTGATAATTTGCGGGATAAATTTTTAAGGTGTTAGTCACATAGAACTAGAAAATACGATATTTTTTTTATAGTGTTAGTCAAGTAGAACTTTTGTAGAACTAGAACTGTATTATTTTTTTGGTGCGTTAGTCAAATAGAATTCTACTAGAATTAGAATTGGGATACTTGGTCATAATTATCCCACAAATTATACTACCTATATATATAACCATAAGTTCTCCTCTCTCAAATTATCCCACACATTGGTGAGAATACAATTGAAAAAAAAAAGTGAAACGTCGCCTCCCTCCCTCTTGGTTAAAATTTCTCTGCCATGAAGTCAATCATCCGAAAAAGTGAAACGTCGCCTCCCTCCCTCTTGGTTAAAATTTCTCTGCCATGAAGTCAATCATCCGTTTACTTTGTTTTTGTGATGATTAGATCTTTTATTATTATCTTCAAGATGTATTACTTTATTGATAGCTTTTTGACGTTAAATTACTTTATTATTATTTGTTTAAGTTTTCTCTCCACAACAGTGGTTTAGGTTAAGAATATAGTGTTGGTGGGTTAGTGCTAAAGATATGCGAGCTATTTATGTTTTTTATAAGTTAGAAAGCAACTTTGCGATCACATTGATGATTAGATGTTGAATGGTTAATGGTGATATCTATTATTATTAAATCGACTCAGTAAATTGATTGGGATATTTATAGTTCATCTGTCGATCATTTGTTTAGCTGCCACGGATGATTCCTGTGTACATTTTATTTATTTGCTGATTTGGTTTCAGCGATCATGATGAGATTGGTCCAAAGGGTTAATGGCTGAAAA